AGGGAGCTATCTAACAATGGCGAATAGAATAGTGCTTATCAAAGCTGTGGTGTCAACTTTACCTTCGTATCAAATGCAATCTAGAGAAAATTAGTAGGAATTTCTTATGGTGCCAAGATGCAACCATAAAGAAAATGCACCTGATAGCTTGGGAGAAGATTACCAGGAGTAAAAAGGAAGGGGGATTGGGCATAAAGAATTTGGAACAGCAGAATAAGGCCTTCATAATAGAGCTTTGTTGGGGATTAATCACATAACCTGAGGCGTTATGGGTATGATGTCTACAGAGTATTTATGAATGTGGGGAAGAGGCAATACCCTCGATACATAGAGGGAAATATAACTCATTAACTTGGGGAGAAAACTTAGGTCCAGTGCTTTGGGTCCATTAGGTCCAGTTGACTAATAAGATGCTGCCATCTGGATCATTTTTCCACATCAACATTTAACCCCCTTAAAGATTCTGTTAAACCCTGTTAGCCTAAACATATTTATTTATTTTTTGAGTGAACAATAAATTTCTTCTTCTTTGTTGCTCCTACTGTGAATCGTGAGATTGATTTATTCTCTCTTCCTCAACCACATTCACAACACCACTCTTCTTGTAAATTGCTAGTCTCGAAGCAATGCGTTCATCCCTTTCATGGTGATACTCTCTCTCCTCACTGCTCCCCTTCCATGGCAAAGCCATCAATACAAAGTCATCATGGATCACAAAACCACCATTCATGGCGACGGCTTTGAAATTGATGGAGGTTGATCTGATAGAAGAGCGGTAAGTGAACTCACAAGAACCTAAAGGAATATTACGATCAGAAGTCTGCGAGTACGATGCCATATCGACAGCCAATAGTTTCCAGTTTGAAAGGTAGCAAGTCAAAGAGAAGAGTGTTGGTGGCATTTCGTTGGTGAGGAGCAATACTGTCATGAATGAACTCAGGAGGAATTTCTCTTCAGTAGTGGGTAATGCCAACTGCTGTGAAGGTAGATGAGGAGAAAAGGGGTGTAATTAGACTAACGGGGTTTAACAGAATCTTTGGGGGGGGGCTTAAATGTTGATGTGAAAAAATAATCTACATGGCAACAACTTATTGGTATACTGGACCTAAGGCACTGGATCTAAGTTTTCTCCTTAACCTGGAAAGCAATTACCTCCGTCTAGGAAAGCTTCTTAATTGGGATTGGGAGATGTATAAATGATGGTCAACCTATAAAATTTTCATGGGATAGATGGACCCCTCTGGAAGCACCACTCATGGATATGCTACCCACAATCTAGAGCATATAAGTGAAGAAGAAAAGGTAGCTAATTTCAAACTCCCTATCGGTGGATGGGATGCGAATCCATGGAAGGAATTTTTTTCCCGACTGGGTGGTCCAAATCCTTGTAAGGATAAAATCCCCAAACAACGATAAATCAGATGGTTTTTGTTGAAGTGCGCTTGATGGTAGATTCACAGTCAAAGCTGCTTACAACTTCTTGGTTCATTCAGACAGGTCTATTAGTCAAACAGAATGGACAAGATTTTGGCGTTAGCATATGCTAGAGAAAATAAAACTTTTCCTCTAGCAAGTTTCCTATGAGAGATTAAGCACAAATGCACTTAGAGCAGAGGGTTAGCTCTTACAGATAAATGCCCTTTGGGCTGTGATAGTGAGGAGAGCATAATACACACCTTGAGAGATTGTGAGGCCAAGAGAGGTGTGGAGTTTCTTTCTTAATTCTAATAGATATCATATATTTTCTCTTGTGCTTTACAGGTTTGGCTAAGGAAAAATGGGATCATAAATCCCAGCAGAGCTCGTTTTCACCGATGGCCATGGACAAGAATATTTGATCATGTGTGTTGGCTAATATGGACGGCGCGCTACAAACAAGTGGTTGCTTCTAATAAGACATGAAATGAATTTAATTTTTTTTCTTGTTTTTAGTGAAGAGAGTTTAATTAATATCCATGTTGATAATATATAAATCAGGCAAAAAAACTGAATGATGATATAAATGAATAAATACTAATATTAATAATTAAATAATATATTGATGATATGGTGGATACAAAATCTTGGTGAGAAAAAGAACTAAAAAAAAATTATAACATCATGGGAATCCGTGGTTTTACTTTTATTTTTATCTTTTTTTAAAAAAAATCTGAAGATAAGAAGAAACTCAGAAAGTTAGAATATTTCGTTAGGAGTATTTAATACTTTTAAATTTATATTTTAGTATTTGATAGGTCCTGATAAATAATTACAACTTTTACGATGTTTTTAATTGATATAATTTTTTGCCGTCCTTTTCCCTCATTTTCCATTTTTTTATCAGTCAAAATCGGAACAAATGTAAAAAAAAAAAAAAAAAGCTTTTTCCGCCGGTCAATGCATAATTGATGTAGGAAGTTTGTGTTTTATTTCAATACTTTTGTACTTAATATAAGAGTTAGTTGTGAATTCAATTTGGTGTTAAATATAAAACTTCAATCTATTTTATCTCTTTTATTTATTCATTTTACTCTGATGTAATCCTTATATCATTATGTGCACATGTTAAGCGGTTTTCATTAAAAAGTTGTTCCAATGCATATAATTAACAAATGTATTTTAAAAAGAAAAATACATATTTATTTCAAATAACTAACTTAATTAATTTTCTTAATATTCTCAAATAAGTTATCTAGTATTTATATTAAGAACTAGAGATTTTTTTTTTTTTTGCTAAAGCATAGGTATCCTCCTATTGGAGGCAATCCTATTCGAGGTACTATCGGGCACTAAATGTGGACAACTCTCCCAGCAGGGATTTGAACCTTGGTTCGTCACGTTATGAGAGACTAGCCCCTTCCGCTAAACCCAACCCCTGTTAGTACTGGAGATGATGTTTTGTTAACTTGCTTTTTCCACATGGTAATGCACAATTGATGCAGAAAGTTTGTGTTTTATTTTAATATCTTGCTCTGTATTTTCCTTAACACACTAACACTTGAAGCAAATGCAGTCAGCAATGTATGACATAAGAAATGCGGTCAGCCAACAATTAAACCACAGTTAAACTGGCTAATTAAACCACAAATTTTCAGTATACAATCTAATTAAAAGTTACTCAATCTGCTTGTCAATTTAAATACCATAAAGCCACTGGTCCTAATTCCATCGTGTCAACAACTAGGAAATAATTTCAAAAGAAAATCCCATAAAAAGAAATTCAAAATCACTAAATCTCAAATAAGAAATTTTCATAACAGTGCATTGTTATTTATAAGTCCAATGTTGCTAATATCTATTAAAATATTGTTATCAAACTTAATTTGAGATTTAGTAATTTTAAACTTTTTTTATGGGATTCTTTCTAATTTCAATCAAAACTAATTCTTGTTTAATGCACAAAACCGTAAAGGATAACAATTTAAAGAAGTGAGTGGTGGACTTCTTTTTTCCCCCAGATGCCATAAATGAGTTGAGTAAAAAAGTGAAGTGGATGTTCCATATACATGGCCCTAAGCATGACTAGGCCAACTAACGATCAAATGTTTGGAAGTGGGAAAATTTGTTAACATTGCATTATTTGTTAAGACGTTGGCAAAACATTAGGCCTTTAAATATTTAAGGACATCAATTGCACTCCACTAGACACTTGCGAATAGAATTGAAATTAAACCCTAAACATAATGTTAGATTAATTAATGTTGGCATAAAATTTTGAAAATATATAGCTTTAATTTAATGATTTAAATTTTGTGATAAATTCATTCTATATAAAAAAAATTCTAAAATACTACTGAAGTATATTATTAAATCATATATAAATTTATAAGTGAGACAAATTAGTTTATAAAAAAAACACTAAATATAAATACTTTAAAATAATTTAATATCTTTCTTAATTTTCCTAAATTAGTCGATTAGGTTTTATATCAAAAACAAGATGTAGTATAATCCAAATTTTTGTAGAGAACAATACGTAAAGCATACCATAATTAATAAAGTCATGGCATGTGAATTACTCCTTCGGTCCTAAATGGCTTATTATACTGTAATTTAATATCTTTCTTAATTTTCCTTATAGTGTGTATAATGGTCTTATATTTAGGACCGGAAGAGTATATAATAAGCTCAACACTTAGCTTGTAGCAGCAAATCCAACTAGCAATATTCATATTCAAATTGCATGATCTACTTCAAATCTTCAATACTTCCATATACCCCGCTTGAAATAAAAGTCCCATCAAGCCATCAAAGGCCTTTCATAAGCATTTAGATCAATCTACAATCAGACGTCAACTAAAATATCATTAACAATAATATTATATCATCTAATTAAAAGAAATGAAAATTAACCAAAGCCTTTAAGTAACAATCTGACGACAATGACTCAAAAGCAGAAGCAACAACACATCAATATAGATCCTGTAGGAGACCGAGAATGATGATTCATCTATATTTTATTCATCACGATGAGGTAGATTATATACATGAGTGAGGGGCAGTTGAAATTAATTGTGACCGAGAATAAGGGAGAGGATCAAGGAATATACACTCATATATACAATCAGATTCGAATCACAATTAATCCTTATAAAATCGGATCTGAATTCTCACACTCCCCCTCAAGTTGGACCATAGATGTCAATCATGTCTAACTTGCCAATAAAGTAGTCAAACTTGTCTCTTGTCAACCCCTTTGTAAGTATGTTCGCTATCTGTTCGCTTGAGGGAATGTATCTTAGGCAAATTATGCCTCTATCAATTTTTTCTCTTATGAAATGCTTGTCTATCTCCACATGTTTTGTTCTGTCATGTTGGATAGGGTTGTGGGAGATATCTATGGCTGCCATATTATTTGAATATAGTTTGATAGGTAGGTTAACATTCTTCTTCAATTCTTCCAGTACCCTCTTCAGCCATATCCCTTCACATATACTGAGTGCTAAAGCTCTAAACTCTGCTTCAGCACTGCTTCGTGCCACTACACTTTGTTTTTTGCTCCTCCAGGTAACAAGACTGCCTCAAACAAAAGTGCAATAGCCCGATGTGGACTTCCTATCATCTTGGTCACTTGCTGAGTCAGCATCTGTGTATATCTCAATGCTTTGCTTGTCAGATTTTTTGAATAGTAGTCCATAACCCGGGGATCCCTTCAAGTATCTAAGAATTCTATAGACTTCATTAAGGTGCTTTTGCTTAGGATCATGAGAGTGTTGACTCACCACAATAACTGCAAAGGCGATGTCTAGTCGGATATGAGAGAGGAATATGAGTTTCCCCACGATTCGTTGATATCTTCCCATATCCACGGCTTTACCAATGTCCCCCTCGTCACTAATCTTATCAACTCTTATGGGTGTATCACTCGGTCTGCATCCCAGCATCTCTGTTTCCTTCAAGAGGTCCAAGATGTACTTTCTTTGAGAGATATAAATCCCTTTCGTTGATCAAGCAACTTTCACCCCAAGAAAATATTTCATTTCCCTAAGATCTTTGATTTGGAACTCTCGGGCCAGTGCTGTTTTAATCTGTTCTATTTCTGTCACATCATCCCCTGTGAGTACAATGTCATCAACATATATTGCCAAGACAGTTATTTTTTCCTTTTTATATTTGAAGAACTTCGTGTGATCGCTCTGCCCCTGAGTATAGCCCTGCCTTTTGAGTACCTTGGTGAATCTTTCAAACCATGCTCTCAGAGATTGCTTCAACCCATATAATGATCTCTTTAGTTTGCACACTTGACCAGGTTTCTTCCCTGGGAACCTTGGAGGCAACTTCATGTTAGACCTTTTCCTTGAGTTCTCCATTGAGGAAAGCATTTTTGACATCCAATTGATGCAGAGGCCAATCTAGGTTGACAGCTAGTGATAGTAAAATTCTGATTATGTTTAACTTTGCCACTGGTGCGAAAGTTTCTGTGTAGTCCTTGCCATAGGTTTGTGAGAAACCCTTGGCAACCAATCTTACTTTGTATTTTTCTAAGCTTCCATCAGCTTTATTCTTTGGATTAAACACCCACTTACATCCAACCGATTTTGCTCCCTTTGGTAGGTTTACCACTACCCAAGTGTTATTTTTCTCAAGAGCTTCCATTTCTTCCATAACTGCCTGTCTCCACTCAGGTAGGGCCAATGCTTCATCAATGTTAGTTGGTACCTTAACATTCTCGTCAACAACATTGCTTGAGAACTTTGAAAATGTGAATGAAGTCATTCACATTTTAGTTCATTGTTTATTATATATTTTTAGTTAAAATATTAATTAGTTAAGTTGTTGATTATTAGGTGTAGTTGATTGAATAAAACTTGAAAATATTAGTTATGTTAGCATCAGGTTTGAGTTTATATTTTGAAATGGTTTTGCATTCTTCTGTTATGCTAGTTAGAATTGATCTATAATTAGCATTGCAGGGAGATTGTATAGGAAATTGAGTCAAAATTAGTTTTTTAAAAAATGAACCTTTCATGACAGTTATTTGATTAACCATCGTGAAAGGACTTTTTAAAATAGTTAATAGAAAAAATGCCATGAAATTTTTTTTTTTCAAGGCGGTTTTATAAAGTAACTGTGGTGAAAAAAACTTTCACGATGGTTATAAACCTCCGTGAAATTCTTTGTTTATAATATCGATGGAATTCACTATGCCTCAAAAACTGCTGTGTAAAGCCTTTTTTACTCATTGTTAAGGGTCTTTTCTCCTGTAGTACTAACTAAGATACCTATTTTTAACTTTCCTTTTAGTTATTGAGGAGTATTTAGTTCTTTCAATAAGATTCACAAATCCTTAATTTAGTCTCTTGGTCTAATTAAGAATTTGTTAAAAATATATGTTAGAATTTGTATTTTGGTATTTTAGCTAAATTTAATTAGAAGACTCCCTAAAAATTATTATTATAATTTAAAATATTATTTTTAAAATTTTAAATTATATTTGTATTATATTCTTGTGAATATATTTTGTTTATTTCATGTATTGGTGTTTGTTTTTTAAAAGTTAAAAAATACAATTTATATTTTAGAAGAGAAAATGGATGAGAAAAAGGAGAAGCAATCCAATAATTGATATAGGGAGACTAACTAATAATTAATGAGGTCAAAAATGAAAAATAATACTAGCTCTGATGCTTAATATAAGAATTAGTTGACTAATTTGAATAGATTAAAAAAATAGTTAAGTTAGTTATTTGTAATAAATAGGTGTTATCTTTTCTAAAATATCCTTACTAGATATGGAAACAGGCCAGGGCAGGTCAAGCCATCGCCTTAACAAGCTAGGCCTGATTTGTATCAAATAGGTCTAAACCTAGCCTGTGACCTGTTAAAGGCTTCCTTTTTAGCCTAAGCCTGGCCTATACAATGGCCTAGCCTGAAGCCTATTAATAGGCCTGTATTTTTTGAAAAACTATAAACAGGCTAACAGCCCCAAGCCTTCCAACAAGCCAAAAACAGGTCTTAACAAAATACAGGCCAAATGTCTTTAAATAGGCCAAAAACAGGCTTTGACAGAATACAGGCCGAATGCCTTTAAACAGGCCAAAACAAGTCACTAATAATATGAACAAGAGCTGCCAAACACGGAAAAAAAAGAGCATACGACTAAATAAAATGTAATCCAAGAATACTTAAAATACAAGTTGAGATAATGTTATTAATCAACAAGAACATACCAAATACAACAACATTACAACAAAACAAGTTTAAGAAGAATAGCCACTAGTAGCAAATCATCAAATTTTCAACATAATTTCTTCAAGACATACTTGTTGCGAAGCCAATCCCTACCATAAATAAGTACTTCAATTGATTCTTCATTTAATTTGGAACGATATTCATCAATAACTCTACCTCCAACACTAAAAGTGGACTCTGATGTCACGGTTAAGATTGGAATAGCTAATATGTCAGCAACTATTTCAGATAAAATCTTACACTTCATGCTATTATTTTTCTACTATTCCAAGGCACTGAAGGAGTTAGAACTACCATCAGGAATGTCAACACCATCCTCAAGATAAGCTTTCAATTCTGATTTCATTGGGGGAACTGCTTGCTTTTCACGAACATTGCTCATGATTTGGTCAAATCCAGTAACTATAGAAGAACCAGGTGCATTGGTAGAAGAGTCGTTATCAGCATATCAACTTCATTACTACCCGTTGTCTTTCCTTTATACATGCTTACATACTCATCATTTATTGATTTCAAAGCACTCAGCACTTTATCTATATTCTCAGAAGCCACATAATCAAGCTTATAAATCAAAGGAAAGCAATAATTAACAACATATAATTTGCACTTGGGATCCAAAACACTTGCAATGGCCATTAACATATTGCATTCTCCCTAATATTTGTCAAACTTCTCCTTCATTGAAGCTGTCATTTCTCTTATGAAGAAATCACCATCTTCTATGGCATTGTTAATTACTTGTTTCACTCTCCAAACTTTAGAAAGATACAAATTTGCAGTACGATACTTACTACCTGAGATGACATGGGTGGCTAGATTAAATAATACTTTTAAGAGTTTACAAATGTTCTCAACCTAATTCCAATCCTCTTCTGATGGTGCATAGTTGTAATGTAGCTCTCTTTCCTTATATTTAGGAAAGACAACCTTGAACTTCAAAGCAGTAGATAGCATCATATATATCGAATTTCACCTTGTTGGACAATCAAGAATAAGCTTTCTTTCCTCAAAACGTTTCTACTCAACAATATCACAAAATGCTTTTAGCTTTGAGTCATTATAATTAATATATTTCACATTCACAAACATTATGTATAATGTCCCTAATTCTTCCAAGGCCATCTTACACCATTAAGTTTAATATGTGTGCACAACATCTCACATGAAACAAATCACCGCTTAGAGGTAATGAACTACTAAGTGATAACGTGTCCTTAAGAGCTCTTAAACAAGAATCATTATAAGAGGCATTGTCAACTGACACAAAAAACACTTTGTTTTCAATACCCCAAGCCTTCAAACACTTGAAGATAGCATCTGCCACATCAATTCCTCGTCTAGGAGCATGAATTTTCACAAAACTCAAAACTCGCTTTTGAAGATTCCATCTCGGATCAATGAAATGCCCGGTGATAACCATGTATTCAGCTACTTGGTGAGCTGATTTTCACATATCAGTAGTCAAACTAATCTTGTTCACACCCTCTAATAAGGCCTTCAATTGTTTCTTCTCTGCCTCATATATGGCATAACAATCAGTTCTTGCTATCTTGCGAGATATTGTTTGAAATTCAAAATTTGCATATTGGAAGCCCCACATCCAAACTTCATCCTCAACAATGTTAAAAGGATGTTCATGCACAATAATTGTAGTAGGTATTATTTTCCTCATCTTTTCATTAGAATATCTAGCACCCGGTGTCAAAAATGTTAATGTTCAGATTGGAAGGCTAAAACAGAATTGTGGTTGCTTGTTTTGCAAAGAAACAAGCAACTTCCCTTGCAAACAAGCTTGGACATGTCTTCGAAGATCGCTGGTGCTAGCTCCCTTCCTTGAATACGCAAGTAATTGTTTGCAATACTTGCATTTCCCTTTGATTCCCTTATCGGTTTCAACTTGATCAAAATTTTCCCAAATGGTAGAGGTTTTTCGCCTCTTCTTTTGAATAATACTATCATTACCATCATTTTCTTCATTAGTTTATTGACTAGAATCTGTTGGTGCTTGTTGACTAGCCAATGGCATAATAGCATTTGAAGGACCTAAATTAGATGACATTGTTTCACTCTCAAAATGGAGATGAAATTAACTAGAAATGAATCACAAAGCATATATTAGTATTCCATTCTTGATGCAAAATATCAGTAAAATAAATTGGAAAAAAACAATCATGTATCAACAGTAACACAACATTAAAAGAAAAAACTATATGAACTCTAAAAGCACCAACCGAGAAAAAATTAACCCCCTATCATTTCCTAATTAATCCTGTAAGTACATACATCCAAATTCTTCATTCTTATAGACCCTATCATTTGCTAATTCATTCTTCTATGCCACTAAAACAAAATTCAGTAGCAAGCCTAATTCAGAATTTATCATCATTTTTATGCCACTAAAATAAAATTCAGTAGCAAACATTACAAATTCTCCACGGTGATAGAGTTATCATCATTACAAATTTGTACTTGGCTTAATACCAAAATCATCTCCACAGAGAATAGAGAGCTCTAACCAGCAAGTATTACATCTACGGTTCTATAATCACGCGATCAATGCCATGATACTCCTTTGAACATTGAAAAATAAAAGATGATCCTCTACTCTACATCTACAAATAATTCTTTAGATAAAATCACAAAACCAATTAAGCTTTAACCTCCGAGTTGTGAGTTGTGGCTTAAGAGTCAATATGGCTTGTAGGAAGCTTATCTGGCTGACGAGCAATGAGGACTGATGAGCAGAAGTTGTCAACATCGAGCAATGAGGACTGATGGTGATGGTTCAAGCTCTGACCTCCGAGATGTGGCTTCGGAGTACTATAGGTTGTGACTGTGAGGACTGAGGAGGAGGATGACTCAACCCCTCTAATGTTATGGCTTAGGCTTCGGAGTCGACACCGTCGAGGATATATAGATCAGAACGCACAGGCATGAAGATTGAAGAGAGGTATGCAATTGAGCGATCGTGCCACTGACTGTTCTTTGTGCTGATGCTGATCGACGCCGGCATGGCTGTCTATCTGACTCCGAGAGACTGAGACTAAAGTAGAAGAAGGAGACCAGAGAGGCAGAGACTAGAGTCTGAGAACCGAGGTGAGACCGTGAGAGGAACGCTGATAGTTGAAAATTGAACTGAAGATTGAAATAAAAAGAGGGGAAAACGAAAACCTAATGTGGAGTAAATAATTTTTTAGCTAATTTACTTAATAGGGTTTAAAATTATATATCATGTAAAAGAAGTAGCAACAAAACGAAATGGTGCAGTGGTGAAGTAACTTTTCATCCACTCACAGGTCTTGGGTTCAAGGCCTACATTTTGCATAATCCACCTATTATGTGAAGAAACATAACAAGCTCAGGCCAGCCTGATAAGTCTTATAGCCTTCTCATGGAGCCTGAGCCTGGCCTGTTAAGTGAAATAGGCTTCTAAAAAAGCCTGAGCCTGTATTTTTTTTTTTTTAACAAGCCTGGCCTGATTAGGCCCAAAATAGGCCAGGCTGTAGGCCCTTGACATGCCGCCT